AAAGAAAAAAAATCAAAAGAATTTAAGCGTCTATTAATTTTTTTTTCTTTTTCTTTCAAATTTAACAACTTAAGACTTTGGTAATTTCAGCCATGGCGGAGATTCCTTTCTGCGAGCCATACTGCTGCCGTATGCAATAGGCAACAATAAACTACAGAAGCACTCAAAATTGTTTCCGGCATTTAAGCATTGCATCAATATTTAAACTTACCTTTTAAGAGTTCAAAAGGTGATTCTTCAGTCGCCATTTAATTTAAAGACAATTTGATGTACGTAGGTCCTTACTTTCCGTAGAAACAGTTATTTTAATTTCATGAGTGACTTTCGCTTGATTTAGCAGTAAATTTCGATCATTACTAAATTTATTTCCAAGTTATAAAAATTGTTATCGTACAAAAAATTCCTCGCAAAAAAAAAATAAAATCACGTAAAAAAAAAATAGCCGGAAACAATCGTAGTAATGAAAACTTGGGAATCCAAAATTCCTGTAACATGAGCTATTGAAAGTTAGAGAGAGAGAGTTGTGTCCCTTTAATTGACAAAAGTGTGACACTGACATTTACGTTTATTATATATATATACAGTGGTACTGGACTCTCGCATCGTTTTCGATGTATGAGGGGTACGCTGCTAAGTTCTTAAAACCAACAGCCAGACTACACGCACATATCATTTGATTATAGCGGTGATGGCTTGTACAGAGCCAATCACACACTTTAGAAGACTCGACTACAGAGAACTGTTGCACAACGTACCACAAGGTCCCTTACACATCCCTCCGCCTGTTTGAAATTAGGAGTTGTACTTCTTCTTGACCGTTCGCAACACAAGACTCTCCTGCTATTTACCCATAGCTGGGGGGGGGGAGAAGAGATGGATTCAGACCTTTCCCAAGGGTATTAGCACATAAGTGAATGTAATAAAATCGAAATGGACAAAACTGAAACAAGTAGAAAAAGTTAAGAGCCAATTATTAATAATGGTTGCACTTCGTCTAAAACGTTCGAAAATCTTAAGATTATAAGATCAATACTATTTTAATTGTTCTCTGTTAAAAGGCAACTATAAAGTGGAGTAAGACTGTTAAAATAGATGGTTAAATTAATTAAATTGGCTAGAATAGTCGAAGCTAATCAAAGTATTAACAAACAGATCATTAATTAAATTCGGTGTGAGATCTGGTGATGCTTTTGAGACTATGACTCGGAAAGAGCGCAGTAAAAAAAAATTGTAGAGGGTATAGGGGTGAAAAGAACAATAATAGGACAATAAAAGAACGGTTAAAAAAAAGAAAAAGAGAGAGAGAGATACGGTAGAACAAGGGTTTGCGGTTCAGAGAGGAATCAGAGAGCCGAGTTCGAATTCCAGTCGAGATCATTATATTAACTTACGTGCTTGGGAAAAGTATGAATGCAACTCTTCTTCCACCGCCCCTAACAAGCTATGGATAAATAACAGGACACGCTGAGATCTATAGCCTTGGCTGGCAAACGGACTAGGAGAAGGAAAAACTCTGAATTCAAAACTCTATGCAGCCCCCGTAAATGTAGCTAAGGAAAGGATCATTTGCCATTGACGCGATGATCCCGACTACGGCCGACTCGATTTTTTTTTTTTGTTTTGTTTTTGATTTTTTATAGAAGAAAACACATGAGAGGCAGGTTACCATTAGAAACACGTATATACATTCGGACTATTGTCCTTATGTTATAATCAAAACACTTCAACCGTTTCGCCTTCTGGCCTTTTTCTATCCGTCCTGGATATGACGATAAACTACATCCGCGACCTGGGTAAGACGATAAACTATGTCCGACAGCAAGGCCTCTGATCAGGAGGTTTTGAGGAGCGTGGAACCACCTCTTAATTGCTGGTATTCAAGGGCCACCCTGACCCGGGGTGGTAGCACCTGTTAGGGTCCCAGCTATGGGCAAATAGTTAACACCCAAACTTGTGTAAAAATAGGTTTTAATACCAGAAATACTTTGTAATAATAATAAAAAAAATTATTACTAGCAATAATTTTTGAAGGAAAAATTATTATAAGCAATACTTTTAAAAAAATACCATCAATACAGCTATACATTTTTTGAAAAAAATATGACCAGCTATAGATTTCTTCAAGGAAAAATATTCCCAGAAATAGATTTTTGAAGAAAAACATTGCCAGCAATAAAAATTTTGACGGCATTAAATAACCCATTGAGGTGTTGATATGCCGTAAAACAAACCAAACCAAAAACCAAACCTTCTTCTGCGTTTCTATCTGAGTAATCTTCAGAGAATTTCAAGCCGAAACCTTTATTTAATCTACGGGGTTAGTCTGTTCTCGCCCCACTTTCCATATCGATGGATTAATTTTGTTTTTCTAATTTCGCAGCAAGCAAGGCGATAATGCCACTAAGACGCAAATGGTTACTTAGAGCGAAGGAGAATCAGAAGACATGAGAAGGAACCGGAAACCAAATCCTAAACGAGAAACAAGTGATATACCTCTACTCCTGTTAAAAAAATACGGAGAAGGAGTGTGAACAAGGCGATAGGCGAACCTACTTACTTATATTTTTAGGGTTTATCAACCCCTTTGTGAGTTATTCTAAGCCGAAACATATTTCGGACTGTAGGAGGTCGCTTACAGTAAACGGTGTTCCCAAGCAGTCGCCTATCTAAATACTGACGAAGTTCGGCACTGCATAGTTTCAGCGATCGAAACATGTCTGGGTATATCTCGTCTTATTTAGTACTGGTCAGTTATTGATCACCCTGTTACTACTGAGTCTAATGACTATGACACCGAATTCTCGAACCAACCCCCTAGACGACTGACCCGAATCTGGAACTTGAAAGTTAAAATCTAACTATTCTACTGCTCACGATGGACTACATTCACCGGGCTTTCTCTTTTCTTGCAGCTGTTGTGGCTGCTGTTGCCAGTGAAGTCTATCGGTTCCTTTTAACGGCTCCTATATTGTACTTGTTTCTATACTAGGCCTATTGATGGGGTTTCCCATAGTCTAGCATATGCACCGTGTGCTTCTGACGCCTGAAAAAAATCCAACAAATTTCACTCAAATTTTTCTCTTTGCAAAATTATAGTATCTTAAATGAAGGCCCCAATTTAAACTGACGTGAGATATGGTTTTATAGCATACCAGAGTGTTCATTCATTTTTTTTTTTTTTGCGCCATATTTATCACAACGTTTCGGCCGTTGTACGCTCCAGCCTTCTTCAGGTGGTTGGAATGTCGAACTGAACCTTTTATTTCGCTCGCTCGGGTAAACTGTTCTAGTTCCACGTGCCATGTCCAATGGATGTCAGTTATCAGTTATCTCTTGTTAAATCACCTCTTTAAGACAGTGGAGAACTTGGAGGGTGAATTAACAGGAGATAACGACAGCTTTCCATTAGACATGGCACGTGGCAATCTACCCAGCGAGCGAAATAAAGTTCAGTTCGACATTCAACCGCCTGAAAACCCAGAACAACGTTCGAAACGTTATGATAAATATGGCAACAAAAGAGGACAATAGTCCGAATAAGGTAAATAGTGTATATAAAACCTCATCTCAGAAATATAGACAGATACTGAATTTTTTTTTCATGCATTTTTTTTTTTTAAGAGAAAAATAATCCGCTTGTAACAGATTAAATAAATAAATAAAAAAGACATTTGTTTTCAAGGCATGAAATGTGAAAAAAAAAAAAAAAAGCAATTCAAAATGGATTCCGAAAGTAAAGATGGACGCCATTATTGTATTTATTAAATCTTTATTGTTTTTACTGTTGTTATTATTATTAATATTATTATTTACCGTGAACTTCCCCGTTGCGAATTTAATTTTTTTTTTTTGTCCTCTCCTTTTCGTTTATTATTTTTTACATCATTTTATTTTTTTGCTGCCGCATTGATATGACTTCTTATTAAAGAACAACTGTTTAAAGTGATTACTAACAATTCATTGCGTATACCACTAAGCAAATACGAGTTATACTTTATACTATGCTTTTGTTTTTGTTTTTACGTACAGGTATGTGTGCGTGTATGTATACGTGTGTCTGTAAAAGAAAATGTGAGTCAACATAAATTTTTAAAAAAAAAATCAATTCAGTTCTTGTGTAATTACTGTTTTTACATTTTTTTTTCTCTTTTCACTTGAACATTTTCATTAAAAAAAAAAAAAATGCATATTTCTTTTTACGTTAACTTTGTTGTGGTGACTGTCATTTTTTTTTTTTCATTTTTTTTTTCTATTTTTTTTTTTTTTTTTTCCTTAAAGGAGAGGGAGAGAAAAAGATGTCGGAATGACGAACAATGTAATAGTCTTTCGTCAACTTCTCTTCTTTTTTTTTTAAACTTTTTTTTTTTTGTAATTTGTACATTAAAAATTAAAAAAAAATACTGGTTGCGGGTGGAAGAAAACGAAGAAAAAAAGAAAAACATCCAGATACAAAAAAAAAAAAAGAAAAAAAAAGGAAATCTCTAAGATTTCCTTCGGTCAAACAAATGTATAATTTTTCATCTCGTCGATAGTTCATGATTTTCTTAAAGTAAAGACCTTGTCATAGCATACTTCTGTTCTTGTTAAATTGATTTCTTTCTGTCTTTTGGTCACATTTAATTTACAACTTTTGTGTATTATTAATATTACTTATTATTAATAATAATATTACCATTAACAATTTAACTTTGTAACACACATTCTACACACTCACACTCTCAGGCATATTATATAAAGATATTTGTACACATATTCCAATGCATTCTTAAATTCGTCAGAGTTTAGTCTTTTACCAATCGTAGGTAGGTTATTCTTAAACAATATTTTTTCTTTGTTGCTTTTTGATAAAATTTGGCTTTAAAAGAATTACTAGAATTCTTTTCGACACCAACATTTTTTCTCCAGTAAAAAAAAAATTAAAAATTAAAAATAAAAAAAGGGAAAATATTTTCAAATATAGTCAGTACAGTAAAACTTTTATAGTCAATATTTTCCCGTACAGTCGTAACTGTATGTGCCCGTTGGCTTATAGGGTGATCGGAACGCAGCGGCTAACTGACAACTAGCTGCCGCCGACTGGCTCTGACCCTGAGATGCGCTGATGAGTCGCTGGGATTCGAAAACGTCTCGCATCTGACTAAAAGGTGAAGCGGCAAAGTCTGTGCTATGGTGATTAAGTTCAGCGGCTGATGGTGGCGGTGGAACATACCAGGAGTTTGCACGGGAGTACGACTGGCTGTTAGAGAACATGCTGTGACTTAGACCGTTGGCTGTCTGTGCGGCTGCCAGAGACGACGAATGCTGGTTCTGGACTGCTGTCGCCGCTGCCACGACGTCATGTTCGGACGGCGATGGTCCGGTGGCAATGTTCATGGACTGACCCCCATTGGGCGCGAAAACAGACTGACCGCTGCAGTGGTAGTTGTAGCCACCATTAGCGGCAGCGGCGGCTGCAGCAGCGGCAGCCGCCGCAGCAGCAGCCGTTTGGGAACACGAGGTATTTCGATAGATGTCAGCTGCCGTCGCAGCCGATCCCGACCCGGAACGGGACCCGTAGGGCAAGATTTGCGGTGACACCAACGGTGGGGGTCGACTGTTGACGTAATTAGATGAGGCAGCGGCCGCTGCAGCAGCTGCAGCAGCAGCCGCCGCTGTCGACATATCACAAGAGGTTGTTGTGTGGGGCACTGTCATCAGATTCTCGACCGAGAAACTCGTTGGGGTCATTTCCATGTTTACTGGATCTGTTGGTATGGGCAGTGTGTTGGGGTTCGAGCCGAGACGAGAAGGGGCGGATACCGGTTGTCCAAGAAGACCACAGTCATTACGAGGAGAGTCCATAGGTTCAAGTTTTGGCGTGGCCATCGGAGTTCCACCGCCCGTCGTCACGTCCACAGTTCCGTTACTGTTACACATGGCCCCGCCTTGTAAAGAACCCGAACCCCGCGATCCAGGTGACGCGGACCCTCCCGTGTTTTTACGTTCTTCATTCACACTCGGCGATAGCCGTTTAGTGTTGTTGCTGTTGTGATGGGCTGGATGATGTGGATGGTGGTGGGGATGATGATGAGTGCTGCCACTGTTGGGGTTGTTGTTCTCTTGGTTCGACTGCTGGTGGGGATGCTGTGGTTGGTGGTGTCCGCCCCCAGGGGATGAGCTGTCGTTTAGAGAAGACGTTTGGGACTCGCCGCAGTTGACTTCCGCTGTATCGTCTCCACCGCCGCCACCGCCTCCGCCTCCACCGCCGGCACCGATCATAGAGGAGGCGGAGGACGACGACGTCTTTTCGCGGTCTTTCTGTAGCTCGGCCGCTAACTGCCTTTCCCGCTCCTCGCGTTCTCGTATGGCGTCTTTCTTCTTGAACCGCTTTCGACGCCGCAGATAACTGCCATTGTCGAACATATTGTAACTATCCGGATCCAGTGTCCAGTAACTGCCCTTACCGGGCTTCTTGTCGTCGCGGGCTACTTTTATGAAGCACTCGTTTAGAGACAGGTTGTGGCGTATTGAATTTTGCCATCCTTGCTTGTTTTCCCTATAAAACGGGAAACGTTCCATGATGAATTGGTAAATTCCATTCAGTGTAATTTTCTTGTCAGGTTGACTCTTTATAGCCATGGCGATCAGCGCGATGTAGCTATATGGTGGCTTGACCATGTCTTTTGGCCCGTGATGTGGTGGGGCGTATGGACTAGCATACAGCGACGGGCCACGACTCATAGTGCCGTATTGGTCATGTCCGTACATGGCCATGCCACCCATGGACATCCCGGCGTAGGCTCCATGCCTGTAGTAATTTTGTTCGCCGAAGAGGGCTGGTACCATGCTTAAACTTGGTCCGTTCGTCGTTTGGTAACGTGATTGGAGTCCGTTTGGTTGCATTGTGCATAACTTTTTATCAAAATCACAGTGTGGGTTGGACGTTGGTTGACGGTTATGGAGATGTCTTGGAATTTTCCCCACTACTTGGTTTTATTCTTTTACTTCTGTAATTTCGGATGAATATTAATGAGTTTCCACTTTTTTGCTATATATTTTCCTATTTCATGCATTCGTCGCGAGGAACTTATCTGAAATGAGAAGAAGAAAAAATTCTTTGAAAAAATGAGCGTCTATTTTCGATCGAGACACAGCATAAAAATACGAACAGAAAAATGGGTTTAAAATTAATGGAGAAAACGCATGCGCGCGCACACACACAAAGAAATCCATTAATCGATTTTATATATAACTGCTGAAACCTCCTGATGAGTGAACTAAACAATTACAAAAAAAAGATTTCGTCTTCGGAGTTGAGGTGCTGAATACAGCATCAATCAGCTAAGTGACACATTTTGTATTTGTATTAATCCTTATAGATAGATACGTTGGTTATCCGCAGTACTTTGCCAGTCACCTGTAATAAAACTTACGTAAGTTTCAGCAAAGACGACTGACAAGGTACAGCGGTTAAAATTTTTTTGTTTTTTTTTTTATTATTTAATTTTCTTTCAACATGTTTCGGACAAATTTTCATTTTTCGAAATGATAGTTTATATAGAAAAAGGATTAAAAAAAAAATATGAAAACGTCAATTTCAAGTGACGCTAGGCACATAGTCTATCGCATTCAATGTCGTCTGTTTAAACGAAAAATTGATGCACGTTTTTTTTTTGTTTTTTTTTAATCAGTTCATTTCAAGCAAGGCGACAATAAGAGGTGTGAAAGAGAAAGAAAAGACTTTAATTATTTAATGAGACATGTCTTAACACACACACATTATATATATATATATATATATATATATATATAGTGCTAAATATAATAGACAGTGAATGTCTATGTTTCATTATGAACCGTTCTAAACTCCGTATATTTGCTTTAATTTCGGGAGACAATAAAGACAAAGACATTTAGATATATATTTTTTTATTAAGCTGTTCCTTGATGTAAGCTTTCGGCTCACGTGAGCCATCTTCAGAGTGGTTTTGCGGACATTTAAACAAAGATATTCACAATCAAATATGATTAAGACATGTCTTAAGTAATTTAGACAAGTTTTGTCTACTTATTTTCAATAGAATCCTCTCTTAATTACGGACAAGTATTTTGGTATTCATATCAAAGGAAGAAAGAAAATTACCATGCTGATGCATATTTATTTGATACTGAGTACTTTCGACATTAGCATAATGTCATCATCAGAGTCTTGTTTATTCTAAGACAAAAATTATGTTCATCATTCTTCTAAGACAAAATTGGTGTTTATCTGAAAGTTTTTCGTGTGAAGTGAAATGCGCTAAGGTTATGTATTGTACAATTTTATATTTTTTATCATCTAGGCTCACGTGCAAAATTCAAGACTAAAGTTATTGTAGGGCCTATTTTTTTTTTTTTTTAAGTAAAACCTTTTTAAAACTATTAGTTACAACCAAGATATTTAAACTGTCTACTGTAAACAATTAAAAACATTTGTGCAGTATTTATTTTAAGGATTGATTTCAATTTTTTAATATAGATAATTTTCCGATTAAATTTTTTGTTTTAAAAAAAAGACTGATGACGACATTGCGCTAATGTCGAAAGTACTCGAAATAAAATGAATATGCATCAAATTATTTGTCTAAATTATTTCCTAAAACGTTTTAATGAAAACATGCTGCCAAAATATACGCAATATATATATATATAATTTAAAATACGCTATAAAATATAAAATAGTATATTGTAAAAGGAGGCTGTAAATAGTTGCGTTTAAAAAGGAGCAACAAAAAAAATCGCTCAATAAAAAAATCCCAAAAGTTCGAGTTGTAGAGCAAAATGTAATGAGGAATACTAAAATTCAAGCTACCACGCTACGAGAGAATAAAATCAATAATTATTTTCATAATTCAAGGCTTAAGGTAAAACGTAAAAAATACAACTTTTCCAGTCTTAAGCGGCCCTCCCTTGCACTTATATTAAAGAGGAATGTTTTGTAAACGCTAAGCGGAAATGGAACTCTCCCATTTTTAGAGAAAAATAATTATATCTAACGAAGAATTGGTATTTTCAGAAATCCTTACTTATAATATCATAGAACCTTTAAAAACAAAACAAAAAATAGTAGGTATTTATTCGCACGCCAATTCGAATGGGATATGGTACAAGGTCAAGTTTAAAGTAGGAGTTTCACGCTTACATGGAACTAAGGCCAAAAATTGTTCACACTTGATTGGCATTTTCATATTGAAAAACCTCAGGTACTCGGGATTAACTCTAAGACAACAGATGACATCTAAATGGGATTTTTAAAAAAATAAAAGTTCGATTACAACAATGTACCAAATAAAGAATAAAAACCATTATCTAGTGGAAATGGGCTGGAATCTTCCGTTACTGCTTTAAGAGACATTTTCATGTTAGTCTTGCAAACTTGACAATTAACCAGTTGCGCATTGAACAAAAACAAAGTTTACATTATTCTGGTGACGGAAAGGAATATTTAATTGAACTAATCTTCAAGTTAGGAAGATTCTTGTTTGCTTCCCAGTCAACTTTGACCTTCAGAAATTTAAATGCAATATCAACCATTATTATCTATGTTATTAATTCTTGTTCTTTTCTTGTTCTCTCTTATTCATAGCGTTTGTTTTTTTATATACTAATATTATAGTATACACTCCAAATCCAGGACCTTCTCACTCCTGTCGGAGGAACCCGTCCCTGATTGGCCATGTCTTCAGGGGTGTACCAGGGCCTTCTCACTCCTACTGGAGGAACCCCTCCTTGATTGACCATTTTCTTCAGAGGTGTACCAGGGCCATCTCACTCCTGCTGGGAGACCCCGTCTTCAGGGGCGTAGGCTTGCGTCTCACGGTTGACCTATTACGGATTGGTGAAACTATTTAGCACATAGATGTTTTGAATTCAGGAGCTGCCCTTCTCCTAGCGCGGTTTCCAGCCAAGGCTATAGAACCCAGTCTTTCCTCCTATTTACCCATAGCTATGGCAAAGGAGAGATGAATTCATACCTTTGATTGATTCGTTTTTTTACGACTTATTAATCCCTTTGTATGTAGGTCATTTAAAGCGGGAAAATATTTTTAGATTGTAATATTTTTTTTTAGATAATGTAAAAGGTCTAATAATGTACTAATCTAATAATGTACTAATGTAATAATGTACTAAGTCTAAGTCGCACTAATTAACCTATAGCTGGAGGCGAAAAGGTAGGTTTCGCCTAAGTGACTATAACGAACCCAACTGGAACTGAAACTCGGCACACCGATTAACAATTCCAGGCTATTATCCACTACACTGCCGAGCTTACAGCACCTAATATTCCCAAGCGCTCATCTAGGGACTGATCAAGCTCGACGTTGCTTAACTTCGATAATCGTTCGGGAATTGGTGTTTCAACGGTAACTAAATGTAACAAACTCGACTAAAATTCGAACTCGTATTGCGTTTCCTCAATCAGAGTCGTTTCTTCATTACTCCACCGCATCTCAATATAACTATAACACCGATAATGCCTAAACTAAAAAAAAAAAAAAAAAAAAAAAATTGGCGTTCAATTACTTTCAAACTGGAAATCTAGAAGAAAAAAAATGGCTGCTCTATACCAGCAAAGAGATAAACAATATTTATTTCAGGGAGACTTCTTAGTCAATAAAATTAATCATTAGCAAATCTAGTTTTCAAAATAATAAAATTAAAATTAAAGCTTTTCCAGTCGATGTGGGGATCCGAACATGGCATACATGAATGGATTCTTCATCAGGACTTTCAAACTGAAAATCCACTACGCTACCACTGATATTCCCAAGCGGTCATCTAGGGACTGACCAGGCTCGACGTTGCTTAACTTCAGTAATCGTTTGGGAACAACAAACTCAAAAATAAACATAAATAAATAGGCAAATTCACGTGAGATTGGGGTGAACGGATCACGTGAAAATCTCCAGGAAAATAAATACGTAAACGAATGATGTATAATAGCCAGTATCATTGTATTTCCTTCAAGAGTAGGAAGCAAACTCCATTCGGAAAGAAATTTTCAGATAGAAAAATCTTATTATAAGTAGATTTGTCCCTGCCTCAGTTAGCACGACCGTTACGCCCTGACAATATCTCAAATAATGGCCTATTCCATTTTTATCGCGTGGAAAAACGAAAAAAAAAAAGAAAAAAAAAGAAATATCATTGACGCCACTTGGTTTCAATTCGAAAATGAATGAATGAAAGAAGTTTTTAACGTTTGTTTCAGTGAAATTGGAAAAAAAAAGTTGTCAATTGCAATTTTTTTTTATTTGTACCCCCTTACTTCTTAAAATAGCGACCAGCATTCATATTTACGATTGGCATTGCAATATTTTGTTAAAGTTGTTAAGCTCAAATATTTAACAAGGCGATTCCTACGGACATTTTATTGTGGTAACACCCGCCATGAATTTATTCAATCGTTAACATAAATTAAGATTCATCGGAAAGCTTAAATAGGTAAAACCGTGAAATTTTCCCGGGTAGTGCTAGTAAATAAATAAATGTCGGTTTTATCATGAGACGCCATTTGATCAGAGAAATAATTCAAAAGTACACCCTGTTCCCCGTCCAACTTGGCTAGTTGCCGGACGATACTAAACAATTTTTTCTAATATTCACCCAATACAAATCCCAATAGCGACTCAAGGCAGATAGTTACTGTGTTGAGCTGTACTAGCGTTGGAAAAGACAAACGTTAGGAGTATAGAGCTGAAGTAGACTTTAGAACCCAATCCTCAACAGGAAACGAGGGATAAACCTCTACTCCTGTTTAAAAGACCAGGGAGGAGTGTGAAAGGCCAATTTCCGGAACCCCATAAGGGCCTTAATGTTTTATTTGCTTGTTGCTATCCAGCTGAGTATAAAATCTCTTAATA